GAGAACACTGCACTAAGAACACTGCACTGAGAACACTGTACTGAGAACACTGCACTAAGAACACTGCACTGAGAACACTGCACTAAGAACACTGCTCTGAGAACACTGTACTGAGAACACTGCACTGAGAACACTGCACTGAGAACACTCCACTGAGAACACTGTACTGAGAACACTGTACTGAGAACACTGCACTGAGAACACTGTACTGAGAACACTGCACTGAGAACACTGTACTGAGAACACTGCACTGAGAACACTGTACTGAGAACACTGCACTGAGAACACTGTACTGAGAACACTGCACTGAGAACACTGTACTGAGAACACTGCACTGAGAACACTGCACTAAGAACAGTGCACTGAGAACACTGCACTGAGAACACTGTACTGAGAACACTGCACTGAGAACACTGTACTGAGAACACTGCACTGAGAACACTGCACTAAGAACACTGCACTGAGAACACTGCACTGAGAACACTGCACTGAGAACACTGCACTGAGAACACTGTACTGAGAACACTGCACTGAGAACACTGTACTGAGAACACTGCACTGAGAACACTGTACTGAGAACACTGCACTGAGAACACTGCACTAAGAACACTGCACTGAGAACACTGCACTGAGAACACTGCACTGAGAACACTGCACTGAGAACACTGCACTAAGAACACTGCACTGAGAACACTGCACTGAGAACACTGCACTGAGAACACTGCACTGAGAACACTGTACTGAGAACACTGCACTAAGAACACTGCACTGAGAACACTGCACTGAGAACACTGCACTGAGAACACTGTACTGAGAACACTGTACTGAGAACACTGTACTGAGAACACTGTACTGAGAACACTGTACTGAGAACACTGCAGGTGTTGACGTTGGATGAAGAAGGACACGATGAAACCGTCACATATAAAGTTATAAAATGAAATGAAAGAATGAATAACCAGTTCTTGGGAACAACAATAGTCACCACAAACAAATAATTGAAATAAAAGTGAAGCTGAAGGGATAAATGAAAATTTTTATTCGCAGTTAGTGGCAGAGTAATGAAAAGAGGAGGTAGTCAGTTCTAAAACTGTTATTTTTTATTTATATGATGAAAAAACATTACAGACGACGGGACACAACTGGAGTTCTACGACAAGGTAACAGAAGCAAGACAGGAGAGAGACGGATGGGTAGATTACATCTTGGACTGTAATAAAGGCTTTCTACACAGTACCACACAAGAGACTGGTTGAAAAGCTAGAGTAGCAGGCAGAAATAACAGGAAAAGTACTGCAATGGATGAGGGAATACCTGACAGGAAGGAAACAACGTGCGTTAGTACGTGGATGCACGTGTCGAGTGGAGTTCCACAGGGGTCAGTCCTAGGTCCGGTGCTGTTTCTTGTATATGCGAATGACATAACAGAAGGGATAGATTCAGAGGTGTCCCTATTCGTAGACGATGTGAAGTTATTGAGAAGAATACAAGAGGACGAGGATCAGGTAAGCCTAGAAGGGGATCTAGACAGCCCGCAAGCCTGGTCCGACAAATGGCTCCTGAAGTTTAACTCCAGCAAGTGCAAAGTTATGATGTTAGGGAAGTACAAGGAAGACCACAAAGGCTGGTAAGTTCCTCAAGGAAAAGGATCTTGGGGTGAGCATCATACTGAACACATCTCCTGAGGCGCACATCGGCCAAATAACTGCTACAGTATATGGGCGCCTGGCTTTCGACATCTAAGTAAAGAGTCATTCATGACACTGTACACCATGTACGTCACGACCATATTATAGTATGCAGTACCAATATGGAATTAACACCTAGTCAAACATGTCAAGAAATTAGAGAAACTGCGAAGATTTGCAACAAAGCTAGTCCCGGAGCTGAGGGGTATGTCCTACAAGAAGAGCTTATGGGAACTCAACATGATGATACTGGAGGACAGGAGAGATAGAGGAGACATGATAACGACATATAAAATACTGAGAGGAATTGACAAGGTGGATAGGGACAGAATGTTTCAGAGATGGGATACAACAACAATTGGTCACAACTGGCAGATGAAGACTCAGATGAGTCACAGGTATGTTAGGAAATATTTCTTCAGCCACGGAGTTGTCAGGAAGTGGAACAATCTGGAGAGTGATGTAGTGGAGGCAGGATCTATACATAACTTTAAGAGATACGATAAAACTCATGGAGCAGGGAGAGAGTAGATCTAGTAGGGACCAACAAAGAGGCGGGGCCAGGAGCTGTGAATCGACCCCTGAGCCACAAAAAGGTGAGTACAAATAGATGAGTACACACACACACACACACACACACACACACACACACACACACACACACACACACACACACACACAAAGTTAATAGCATCTACTTCAATAACTTCTCTAATTAGGTTAATTACCATGGTAACTCATTGTAACATTCCTCTTAGAGAGTAGTTCATGATGGCCAGGACCACACAAGACCTGGTCATCGAGACCACACAAGACCTGGCCATCGAGACCACACAAGACCTGGTCATCGAGACCACACAAGACCTGGCCATCGAGACCACACAAGACCTGGCCATCGAGACCACACAAGACCTGGTCATCAAGACCACACAAGACCTGGTCATCAAGACCACACAAGACCTGGTCATCAAGACCACACAAGACCTGGTCATCGAGACCACACAAGACCTGGTCATCAAGACCACACAAAACCTGGTCATCAAGACCACACAAAACCTGGTCATCAAGACCACACAAAACCTGGTCATCAAGACCACACAAAACCTGGTCATCAAGACCACACAAAACCTGGTCATCAAGACCACACAAGACCTGGTCATCAAGACCACACAAGACCTGGTCATCAAGACCACACAAGACCTGGTCATCAAGACCACACAAAACCTGGTCATCAAGACCACACAAAACCTGGTCATCAAGACCACACAAAACCTGGTCATCAAGACCACACAAAACCTGGTCATCAAGACCACACAAGACCTGGTCATCAAGACCAGCTTACACTAGACCTCCTTATCAAGACCAGCCTATCAAGACTACACTTTGTCTTACTTAAGTTAACGACCCAAAACTGAACTTAAAGCCAAATCTTAAACATTGTGTTTGGTATATAACAACCTACATAGAGGCGATTCATCGGGAGAAAAAATATCGCATAGAAGTAATACGCTCAGCTACTGTGCTCAGGTTCAAGCCTATCGACTAAACAATGGACATTCAGGCCTTATTTTTTTTTTCTGGTTCTTGCTACCTCGGTGGGAGACGGCCAGTGCGTTACAAAAAAAAAATAGTTTGGCCTACAATGGCTGGTGAGTGGGGTTTCAAGCCTGTCTACTATGCTAGGGTTATATGTAACCTTTCTCACCACCAGACAAGAATGCTTTAATTCCTAACAGAGATGACAATAAACTCACCATGTATATACGCTGGAAGAAACACGCTTCTCAGGATACAAATCCTTTGAGCTACAGGTTAGGTAAGTGGTCATATGATGACCTGCCACCGCAGCTATTGGTCATGTGACCGAGGTCTTCCACTGGCTTACTTCACCCTTTTAATTATTTATTATTATTATTAAAGATTCACCGGTATTCTCCCGGCCCGGGCCTTTTCCAAGTGGTGGCCCGGCCTTGGCTCCCTCTTTAGGGAGTATGAGACCTAAGTCTCCCATGGGAGGAGGTACAAGTACCCCGTCATCTTTGGGACCAACTGTCCCCAGGCCTAGCCACAAGCTAGGCCTCTCTGGTCTGCCATCCCCGCTCCAAGAGGGCTAATGGGAATGACAGTTTTGTGAGCTACAAGCTCTGGCTTAGGCACCTACCCTACCCTAGAAGGGCTGGGCATGGTGTCGATGCCCTTTTAAGGATTTTTTTTTCTTATTCGCCGGTATTCTCCCGGCCTGGGTCTTTTCCAAGTAGTGGTGACCCGGCCTTGGCTCCCTGTCTAGGGAGTGTCTGAAACCTAAGTCTCCCATGGGAGGAGGTACAAGTACCCCCTCATCTTTGGGACCAAGTGTCCCCAGGCCTAGCCACAGTCCCCGCCCTGACGGGGCTCGTAGGGAGAAGCTAGGCCTCTGGTCTGCCATCTGCCCCGCCCCAGAGGGGCTCGTGGGGATGGCAGTCTTGTGAGCTGCAGGTGGTAACAAGCTTAAAAAAAAATAGCCAAAAGAAAAATTCCATCATTTTCAGAGAATTTTACCAATTTAAGCAATATTTAATAAATAAAACAATAGTTCATGAAGATTTTATTTAAATAATAAGCTATGAAATATAAACTTTTTTTTATCTTTTATTGAATAAAATTATTTTTTCCAAAGTTTGGTATCACATCAAAAATTGTGTAACATCAGAGAGAGGAGTAAAGGAGTCTAACATTATCGTTATAACCTAATTTACATAAAGTACGGCCTGAGGCTGTGTTCCTGTGGGTGTTCATTAGTAATTTATCCCTTGAAGCTAATTAGTCTTTATCACACGGTGATATGTCAGTGGGTCCGTGCGAGTCTTCCCTCCTATTGTGTCATCTCCCATCAAAAGACCAACACCTGACGTCATAATGAAGAGCTTCTCTGATTGGTCACTCTAGTGTGAATGATGGCGTCCCATTAGTCGAGCTCGAGTGACGTCATCCGCAGGTCTTCGTGTGGGCGATGTGGTTTTCATTCATTCCCTCAAAAATTCTACGTCACACTTATTTTTTGTCTCATTTAGTGATATATTATTAAAAAAGAATGGTGGTTACTTTAGGAAAAAATAATAAACCTCTGAAGCATGACCGACTCGTATTTCTTTTCTAAATTCTCTCGAAAAGATGAATGCTCTTTCCGAAATGGGTTAGAAAATCAAGGCAGCGCGGGGAGTAAGCGACCTTCCAGCGAAAGAGAAAACGCGCGAAGATGAAACCGGGAGGTTGACTGCGCGGCCGAGGGTATATAAGGCAGGTCTGGAACCTGCACCCGTCATACACATTCTCTCTTCCACACGGGGCAGACTGTGTCGACGCTTCCCCATCGTCAGTAATCTCACAGAAAGGAAAAACAAACAAAACAAAGATAAAGAGCCTCATCCTATCCTAGGTTCCCCTTTTTCTTCCCTCCTCCCTCATCCACCGTTCCATCTCAACCGTAATATTCTTTGAGCGTTTTCGCGTATCAAACCAACTTAACATTGGAGTTTCTCAACGCCAAGACAACTTCTCCTCGCCCAGATTTTCAGCAGAACAAGGTAAGGATGACTTTACTGTCTTTGAGAGTACTGAGAACGACGTAGCTTTGAACGACGGGGCTTTGCTTTATGCGACAGGGCATACTTTAAACAACGTAGCTCACTTTTATCGACGTAGTTTTGAAAGACGAGGTTATCTTTGAAGTATGTGTCTTGCTCTGAATGATATAACTTCCTTTGGACGACTCCAATTAATTTAAACATAAATATTTTACCTCAGGTGTGAATATATTTCTCCGAGTTTAGCTTCCATTTTGTGGGAAGAGAAGATTTACACGTAAAAAGTTTCTCGATTAACCATTAGTTTTTAGCCATTATTATCACCGTGGTTAATGTTTTATTTAACCTATTCAAATGAACGGTTTACTTTGCAAATATAAATGTTAACTTAGAATAAAGGTTAATTTGCACGTTAAGGTGTAAGTTTATTTAAGTCCAGATACAGGTATAATTATCATACTTAGTAACGTAAGTGTAAATTACCTGGATAACCCCTAAAAAAAGCCAGAGTGACTTTATTTCCATTGGGTTGGTGTTCTAAGTGATTTACCGTGTTGTGACGCCCTGCCGGATAACATTTCTTACTCGTAAATGGTGGCGACCAGAAAGCTGAGGAAAATGACAGTTAGGGCATTTATTAAAGGTTGCTGTGCAACGCTTGTCCAAGACCAGAGCTGATGAAACCATGCGGGGCGAAACGTTACCTTCAATAAATGTCCTCGACTGTACACGAGTGTTGTTTTCCACGGCGTCTGTTCTTCTAGGTATCATGTTAATATGAGTGTCCATGAAGTTTGTCGTAGACTTAAGGTGGTAAAAAGACACAACTATAAAGATGTTCTTTAATAAAGAAAGACGTTTCGCCTATATGAGACTTTATCATATGCGTTAAGGTCTCATGTAGGCGAAATGTCGTACTAATAAAGATCTTGCTGGGGTCTGTCTGCAATAAGAATATTTATTTTAATGCGGGTAATTATTTTCTTATTATAATCAAGAGGAAGCGCTAAACCCGTAGAATTATACAGCGCCTGTGGGGGGGGGGGGATTTGGAAGGTATTCAGGCATAATTCAGGGAACTGGAGCACAGATCAATTCCCTAGATCAAGAGCCCCTCACCATCGTCAAGGAACCTCCCTTGAGGGGTAATGGGGTAAACAACTAATATTCTTGCATCAAAATCAAGCGCTGTATGACCCTTGTCGGTTTAGCGCTTTCTTTGATTATAATAATTGCATCAAGATCATTTATATTAATGGGTAACTCAACTAATATTCAAGACGAATGGACAGTTTATTTTAACGGATAACTCAGGTAATATTCTTGCAATAGGATCACCATTTCAACGGGTAACTCAACTGATATTCTGTGTTATTTTTAACGGGTAACTCGGCTAATATTCCAGAAGTGTTAGTGTTACTTATTTTTAAAGATTAATATAACTATTATAATAAATGAAAGCGTAATGAGGTGGTAAATGGTTAACGTAGAGGTGTACTTGAATGGTATACAATACGAATAAGAGAAAGATTTAGATACATGTGCAACATCTGGGTATCTTTATTTGTAGACGTTTCGCCATCCAATGGCTTTATCAATACAAGAACGTAGTGTGAAGAATGTAAAGCTATTTACAAAGAATTAGGTTATCAGTCCCTCAGCTTTGGAGATGGTGATGAGCACCGTAATCTAAAGAAACTTCAGACTGTGCTCTTTACCACCTCCAAGACTGAGGGACTGATTACGTCAACACAATGTTTGTCAGGAAACATGACAAAAGTTTCCTGACGCGGGTCTTAGTCGTATGATGACCCACAGTCGAAGCTTTTGGTCATCTGACCGAGGCCTTTCTGGTCTACCCCTTTAAAAATTATGGTGAATCATGACTCACGAAATCGTAATAACACGATTGCAAACAAATCATACCACATTGTTTACATTATGTCCTTGTAATGTTAAAGCCACTGGCTGGTGAAACGTCTACAGGTAAAGGTACCCAGATGTTGCACATGTCTAATTCTTCAATGAAGAGAAGTCTTGATAAGTACGATGTTTCACCCGCAAGTGGTCTTTATTGCCCACTAGTAGGTGAAACATTCTATTATTAAAGACTTTACTTCATTAAATGTCCATTTACAAGTCTGACTGTTTTAATAATATGAGTAATACATTGTTCTAGAACAATGTAGTATTACCTTTGTTTTTGACCCGCTGTAAATGATGGATGTTTTTAACTGGTAATTCAACTAATGTTTTTTGTAATATACATTTCAATATAATAATAATCTAGCAATATGCATGCTTTAACGCCTAAATACTTGCATAAGAAAAAAAAATATTAGCTAAGTAATGGATTTGTCGCTGGCTATTTGTATGTCATCGATACGCTTAATAACAGTAAATTTCTGGGTTAGTTATACATGAAAATCAGTTTATTAAGAGGTTAACTGTAATTTATTTTGGTGATGTTTGTAGGGCAAACTGCATTAATATTAGTGTGTTAGGCCGCTTATTTGTAATGAGTATAGTTTGTTTTTAAGTGGAAAGGTTAAGGGTCGGTAATATTTAGTACAGCGGACTTAAGTTATCTATAATGGAAATTCTCCGATATTAAGCGGGTTGTGCCTAAACAAAAAGATCTCTTTGCATTTCGTGTAAATGGTAAATATATTTTTTTTTATGGAAAGTAAGATAAGATTTGTTCGGATTTTTAACCCGGAGGGTTAGCTACCTAGGATAACCCAAGAAAGTCAGTTCGTTAATCGAAGACTGTCTAATTTCCATTGTGGTCCTTCAATTTTGTTCCCCAGGATGCGACCCACAACAGTCTACTAACACCCAGGAACCTACATACTGCAAGATGAGCAGGGGGCAGGTATAAGGAAACACGGTCGTTTCCACGCATACCAGGGACTGAAACTCGACACTTAGTGTGTGAGGCAAGAGCGTTGCATGCGTACAATTATCATACGTAGTAACAAACCTAACCTAATATAAACCAAACTAACAATCTAAAGTTTACCTTCTGATTTCGTAAGGTCAGGTTTCATTACAAAAAAAAAATCCATAGGCTCAATATACAGCAGTTTTTATTGCACGACCCAATTAATATTGGATACTTTACATAATTATGTAACACAATGCTCTTAAACAGCAGTCCCTAAACCAAACATATTACCTTGCTTGTTTTTGTGCTACAAAGTGGAAGACCCCCAGTCAGCTGACCAAAAGCTCCAGCTGCGAGTCATAATATGATTAAGACCTGCGTCAGGAAACACTTGTCCTGTTTCCTGACCAACGTTATACCATAATATGGCTAAGATCTGCGTCAGAACACACTTTTCTTGTTTCCTGACAAATCTTACCTAACGTTTTATGTTACATGACTAAGATCCGTGTTATGACACCTTTCCTGGTGAATATTATGCATGTTTTTGTGCTACATACAAGGAATGTAATGGTTATAATCATAACTATAATTTTTAAAGAGGTGGATGGGTAAGTCAGTGGAAGGCCTTGATCAGGTGATCAAAAGCTCCAGTGGCAGGTCACATTCCTAAGACTCGGCGTATCTAACCTAACCTAACCTTTGTTAGCTAGCATCGTGGCTGCAGCCATTTACAACACTTACTAACACACAAATTTGAGATAAATCGCTTGATGTTCTATCTGTGGTTGTTATTTTCTAGTTAGGAAATAGGGCAGGTGTTTCCTGACAAGGTGACCCGCATTCTTGACAACCCATCTTCACTCGACAGGCCTTAAAATTAACACTGGGAAATTAAAACCCGAGTTTCGGTCCGGTTAGTCTATTGTATCACTCTCAAAGGTGAAGAGCTCTTGCTCCAAGGAATTAGAGCTATTTCTTCCTTTCCATGGACCGAATCTGACTGCTTTAAATTCTATCTCAGGCGACGTGTGAATCAGTACAGATTTAGTGGCCCCTCAATGAACGAAGAGGATTCTAACCTTAACAGGTGCAGGTAAGATATGTAATAGGACTTGTGAGAACATACGTGTAAACAGTAATCACACACTAAAACACACACGTGTATATATATATATATATATATATATATATATATATATATATATATATATATATATATATATATATATATATATATATATATTATACATATATATATAGTCATCACGGTAGATAGATCTAAAGAAGGAAAACATTTGCTCCATACTTGTCCTAAAACCAGACTATTATAACGACCTATTGATCGATCTAAATGCCTCATCACTCGTCTTTCAGAGTGCTCGGCATCATAATGCCAAACTCCACAACTCATGTCCGTCTTACCGGCTAACTTGAATCCCTTCATAGATCTCAAATTACTCCCATCTCAACAGCTCGCCAAATCTGTAAAATCACTTCACTTACTCCAGTTTATATATTCCAGTTCGTTAGTAGTCAGATTGCTGCCTCAATATCCCCCGTGTCGTCGACAGGTCTTAAAATGTTCATTTTAATTGAGCTCTAGCGTAGTGGTAACCTCCTTCAGCTCACAATCAAAGACCCGGGTTCAATAAATGGTGGGTTAAGATATATGAACAAGCCCTACCCTTGTTCACCTTGCAGTAGCTAGGAACCTGGTGTTAGAAGATTGTTGTGGGTGGCATCCTGTGGGGTGGTGATACATCCTACCTATGGCTGGGTGTTCCAAGGAACTCTCTTTAAACTCAATGTTATATTAATGCTGGTAGAATTACCGACAATATATTAGGTAAAAAGACACAAGTTCAACTAATGTGACATTTTATTGTGGCAACGTTGAGCGAAACGTTGCCACAATAAAATGTTACATTAGTTGAACTTGTGTCCTTTTACCTAACAAACGCAATGTTGTAAAAATCAAACGAATAAACTAAGTTTTGACCAGAGTTCCTGCACATTTATTAATTAACTGAAGTTAAGACAAGCATCAAATAACTAAAAAATATATTTTAAATTGAAATATATTTAACATAGATCAGTTATATTTATAAAG